AAAAAATTTACTCTAACAAGAGTATTCCTAAAAATTTTTGTGCAGAAGATAGTAACCGAAGTACTGAACTTGTTTCTAGTAATGTATCAAATGTGAAAAGTGTAATTAGGTCTCAACTGAGTGCTGCTAGTGTGCCCATTGAGACATCTGCTTATGTTGGAAGTGCCTAACTATGATTGAACACCCTTTTCGAAACCTGTCCTCTGATTATTTAAGGCTAAAACTTTTTCGGAGTGCTCCTACCTGGGTGGAGCCTGAGGATCTTGTCATAGGTGATGCTGAGGATCTATCTGCTTCTAAAGTGACTCCTGTTTCCGTAAAAATGTCTTATTTTCCCATTGGCTAGTTCACTTAAAGCTTGTCTAGAATCACCTGGTTTTTTTAATGCTATGATAGAATATATGGCCTCTTTAGAATCAGAACCAGTTGACTGCATTTCTAACTTTATCCAATCTGAGTTTTGGAAATCTAAAGAAAAAGACAAGCCTGGGACCCAAAATACCATTTTTCAAGTTTTATGATGACTATAATGTTAATAATAGTTTGGGCCCTCATGCAGAATCCGGCAAATTAGGTGGGGTGTACTGTTCTATTCCAGTGTTGCCCCCAAAAAATGAGGTCACTAGTTGATAATTTTTTTGTTGTTTTATTGTTCAAGTCTCAAGACGGGGAAATTTGTTCTCAAATGATATTATATTTCAGAAAGTTATTGAAGAATTAGAGGATTTGCAAGAAAATGGGATAACTATTTGTGTTGATGGCATATCACAAACTGTATATTTTCGCCTTGGTTTAATACTTGGTGATAATCTTGGAGTTAACTCCATGTTTGATTTTGTTTCATGTTTTACAGCGAACCATTCATGTCGGTTTTGTAAAATTCATCGAGATGCTCTTCATTTTGCTTCAGAGGAAGACCCTTCATTGTTGAGAAATGTGAACAATTATTCAGTGGATGTATTTTTAACTAATGATTTTTCTGCCACTGGAGTTGTGAAAAATTCAGTGTGGAATAGTCTTCCTGGTTTTCATGTGACAGAAAACCCTTGTGTTGACATTATGCATGATTTGTTGCAGGGTGTGTGCCACTATGATATGGCACACATAATTCAGAGCTTAATTCGTAAAAAATACTTCTCACTTGATGACTTAAATTTTCATATAGGCTCTCATGACTATGGCTGCTTCAAAGGTGAAAACAAGCCTACTAGTATTAGAGTGGAAAACTTGAAAGAGTTGCATTTTAAAATGTCTGCTAAAGAAATGCTTACTTTTGTCAGAAATTTTTCTGTTATGATGGGGCACTGTGTTCCAAAGAATGACCCTGTGTGGTATTTCTATCTTTTGCTTCGCAGGATTTTAGATATAGTTTTGTGCCCTGTTGTGACTCCTTCTCTTCGTGATCTGTTAGACAGTCTTGTAAAAGAGCACAATGATTTGTATTTTGTGTTGTTTCGTGACACTCTTAAACCCCAAAAATCATAATTTTTGCACTTCAGTAGAATTATGAAATTAATAGGCCCTTTAGTGCATGTTTGGTGCATGCGTTACGAGTCCAAAAATAGGTCTCAAACAGTGGCAGCTCAGGCCACAAGGTCAAGGAAAAATGTTATGAAGACTTTATCTTTAAGAGAGCAAATCACTCAAGTCACCAAGTCAAATGTTTTGTCTTCCTCGGACTGTGAGTTTGGCCCTTTGAAACACTGTGATGTGCTCGATAAAAGTTCAGACTTTTTAAATTTTATTCCATGTTTGCCTTTTGTGAACAATTGCATGAGTACCCCTTTTGTTTATACAAAAGGGACTGAGTACAAAGTTGGCTCTTACATTTCTCTTGGGTTTCCCAAAGGGTGATGGGGGGTTTTCCCCCTTTTTGGGAAAATATGTTACATTGTGGTTAATATTGAGGAAGAGTTCAGATTTCTTGTCCATGCCTATGATACAAGGGAATTCTCTGACCATTTTCATGCCTATGTGATCTCACATAAAGAGTTCTTGTATAAATGTGTGTCAGTTCAGGAGTTGACCCATTCGCAAAATTTCAATGGTAACTTTACTGAAGGGGAGATGTATATTTCATCTCGTTACATTGTATAATGAGACTGTTACATTGTATAATGAGACTTGTTGTTAAATGTTAAATAATGTTGTTAAAATGTTAATTGTTAAAATCTTAATTGTTAAATAATGTTAAATAAATTATTCAATTCAAAACATTTTCCTGTAATTTCTCCTACTCCAACAAACGAATATAACACACGCAGTGAATCAAAGTTTGCTCTCGGGAAAATACTAAACGTGCCCCAATGAGTGGGGAAGAAAACTGCTTTTGCAAACAGATAAAATAAAAAAGCAAGACAGATAAAAATTTTTGTTCTGCAGTTATGGTGGAGTATCAGTGTGCCTAAAATATTTAGCCAAATTAATAACTGCATTCTCAGTGTAGCTAAAAGCTTCTTGCACAAACAGCAAATACAAATTTTGTGTATTTGCTAGTCCCTGTTCGAATCACTGCTAATTTTTCTCAGCTAACAGAATTTAGTTGTATGGCTAAAAAAATAGCTGCGCGCATACAACTATTTTAGTTCGCACCGGTGCTAATTTTTTAGCTCCCACGAAATTTTTTTTTTGCGTGCAGCAGGAGTCCCGGAGGTCTTCGATAAAGTGTATTCCACAGTTATTCCGATTGCGGTTTTCAGAAACTTCGATTACCTTAAAGGGAATTCCCTTTAAGGCGAAATATGGTAAATATTTGGGCGACGCTTTGGGCGCGCACACTACATGGGCACAGAAGTTTACGTTATTAAGGCTCAAAGATCTCTTACATTTCCTAACAAGTTTTCCGGGAATTTTGTTGGATTTTATGACAGCGTATTCATCACCCTGCCTTTTTTGGCTGAGCGATAGCGAAGCCCTTGCCGTGTTTGGGCGCTCCGAAAAGTGACTAGTCGTGCGTCTGTCTGTCTGTCCCTCTGTCTCTCTGTATGTAATCACTCACGTTTCTCAGCAACTACTGAACGAATAGTATCCAAATTTCACACCTGATGTCTCCTAAACATCCTACAGGGGGAGTTTATCTCAGAAAAACAATTATCATCGTTTGAAATATTCAAAACATCGTTTTGAACTAGGTAATTAGCATGGTTAGGTTGGTAGCAGCGTGTGCCTGACCAATTTCTCATACCGGCTCCGCGCCTGCAAGCCGTCTGCAAGACGGGACCGCACTTGTGCAAATAAACAAATCAAAGAGCAAAGGGGTTCTCAAATAGGTACTGAGATAGTTTTTTTAACATTCTAGAATGATTGAAACCCTTCCGGAGTGTCAACAGAGGAAAATACGAAAACTGAATGTGAGAATGGTTTGCGTGTTTCGTGCCCCTCTCCCCCCTTCCCCGTCACAGGGGGAATCTTCCTTCAGGTCAGTGCACTGTGAGTGTAGTTGTGGATTGTAAATAGGTAGAATGTTTTCTTTGCCTTTGTGTGCATCTACTGATTTTATTCACTCTGATACTATCCTTATTTTTAAATTTCATAGTAAATCAAATCAGGTAATGCATGAATAACTTCTGTTAAAATTAGAAGAAATGTTAGTTGTCTTGGTTTGTCTCGGGAAATGACATTCTATTGCAATGCTGCAAGCTAACATAAATATTCTGGTTCTAACATCTATTGATTAAAAGAATCCATATACAGATGTATTTAGTGCAATGAATTTAGTGCTAACAGATTTTGAATTGATATTGGGTTCAATGAGACGATTCAGGTTTTGAGCGATGGGTGACTTGGTAATTGGATTTAATGACACGATTCCTTTCACTTCACCAAAGTTTGTGTCCGACAACTGGAACTAAGTATTGGTAATGGTTTAAAAGCTGGCTCTCTGAATGTAAGCCCAATGTTAATATTATAATGTATTCTTTTACTCCAAAGATAAAATATCACGAGGCATGAATAAGGTAAATTATGTTGGCACATTGAGCAACAAGTGGCCTCTGCCTTTGACTGAATGAGACGATTCACTGAACTTGACAAAACTTGTTCTCCGTCGAATGCTTCAGATCAGCCTGCGCTAAACTGAGTCACTTAATGTAAACTATGATTGCATATTCCAGTCTATATTGTTTAATTCACTGGTTTTAAATGAAAGAATGACAAAAGGCTTCTCAAATATAACTAATAAATTTGTGAATTCATGAGTTTGAAGAAAAAGATATATCTTATAGTGACTCAAGCAGACAAGTAGCCAATTAAGCTATTCTATGCTGGCAATGGAATGTTACTCGACTGAAGGAATCGCATTGGTGTGGCATCAGGGTATTGGTGACGACAAAGGGTGATCCATGAAGACCAACCCAGACCCATTCTTTACCCATTATTCATCAATTTGATATCGATATTTTTCAATCGAATCTCAAATTGATTCTAGGAGTTTTTGGAGAGCTGATTATGAAAATCACTTCCATTTCTACTCCAGACTTATATTTTCATCTCAAATAAGATCATTTCAGACCAAAATTTTCAGGTCGAGTTTTGTATTGTTTCCTGCAGTGTTTGATGAGCTGAACTCAAAAATAACTTCCAAATTTTTCCCAGACTCGCGCTTTACCAAATTTTGACCAAAATTTTTGAATTGAGTTTTATGTTGATTCCAAACAGTTTTTTGTGTGCTGATAACGAAAATCACCTCCATTTCGACTCCAGACTTATATTTTCATCCCAAATTAGGTCATTTTGGACCAAAATTTTCAAATTGAGTATTATATTGTTTCCTGCAGTTTTTGGTGTGCTGAACTCAAAAATGACTTCCAAATTTTTCCCAGACTCACGCATTACCGAGTTTTGACCAATTTTGGACCAAAATTTTTGAATCGAGTTTGACGTTGATCCCAACAGTTTTTTGTGTGCTGATAACGAAAACCACTTCTATTTATACCTCAGACCTACATTTCACTCAATATGAGCCCACAAGCTGCACATTTCGTCTACATAAGCAAAGTCCGAAGTGCACAAATTCGCATCGCTCAGCCACACTACGCGCCCACACTAAACGGCGCGTACCCCTAGTACAGTGTTCAAGGTGCCGAAAGCACGTGATGTAACTCAACCGTTTTCGTAGCGCCTCGCATCGTTGTTCGGGCAGTGGTGCAGCTGCAGGATGAGAGGGCAGCGTGTCACGATGCCACCTCCGCGAGGCAGGAAGGACCGCTGCACCAGCGACTCGAGCACGGAGCTCTTTCCAGAGCTCTGCAAAAAAGGAAGAAAATTTGAATTTTTACAAGGCTTACTTTGCACAATGCTTTCGTCGTTCTCGTTTGCGCTAGTGAGACGTTACGTCCATTGGTAAAACTAAAGTGTAGTATTACCCTCTGTTGTCAAGAGTTTCAGTTTACGCTTGAAAGCAAACGGAACAGGCTTCTACGCCCAGATTCCTCCTATCCAAATGCACGGCGGGATAGCCTATGCTTCATTTCAAGCATAACGTCCTCAAGCGTAACAACTTCATGCTTGACTCCAGCATAGAGTTACGCTTTAATTTTACCAGTGTAGGGGTGTGAGAGAAAGAGAGCAAAGCAGATCCCCCGATCAAACGTGAACCGGTAAGATCAGGCTTAAAACCTTACGAAATAGTTACAGCATATGATCCAGGAAGCGGAAGAAGGGCATTATTTGACTCTAATTTTTTTTTCATTATTAATGTGCCTCAGGATGGTTTGCATCACTACACCAAATTGATTGGACCAATTTCTAACAGTTTAGGAGGAAATCCGCATTTGACCCCTTTTACGGTCCCAATTTCATCGGAAATTGGAGGTAGCTCAACCGAAGTCCACATGATTCTGTTGCACAAAATGACAAAAGGAGATAACTCAATTTGTGCCATGATGAGTCTAATGCAAAAAGAATCAAGTCAACTTAACTCCCTCTAACTAGTTGAAAAAAAGAGGTAACTCCAAAATTGTAGCACAGTAGTGTATACTCTACGGAGACCTCAACTCCACACTGGGAGAAATAATGAAGATTGTGGCTGTTAAACCTAATGCCACTCTCCACTGTTTACCGAAAGAAGGTGCTTACCGTACCATGGGATACAGTAGACACTGTGCCTGAAGGAACGGCGTTCACTGTATCCCGGGAACGTGCATCCACTGTACCTTGGAAACTGTTCAGACACGGCATTCAGTATAACTGTAAGATAAAGGCGAAATCCCAAAATCGCGATATAACGTTTTGATGACGGAAATGAATTCATCTCAACAAGACGAACAAAAAATGATCAGCATGTTATGGGCTCAGACTTGAAATTCAACAGATATCGGCATCAAAAGTCTAAAAGAGTAGGATTTTGGACCGTAATTTGATGAGTCCGATGTTTTGGAGTCCAAAATCCTACTTTTTTAGACTTTTGATGCCGATATCTGTTGAATTTCGAGTCTGAGCCCACAACATGCCTATCATTTTTTGTTCGAATTGTTAAGATGAGTTTATTTCCGTCTTCAAATCGTTCCTATCGTAATTTTGGAATTTCGCCTTTAATTTACAGTTATACTGAATGCCGTGTCTGAACAGTTTCCAAGGTACAGCGGATGCGGGTTCCCAGGGTACAGTGAACGCCGTTCCTTCAGGCACAGTGTCCACTGTGCCCCAGGGTACGGTAAGCACCTTCTTTCGATGAACAGTGGAGAGTGGCATTAGGTTTAACAGCCACAATCTTCATTATTTCTCTCAGTGCACTTGAATTGTCCACTGTTAAAAATTTTTGCTGAAAATTCAGACTTTTTTGACTGAAGTAAATATGCAGAACATCCTACTGAAAATTCAGACTAAATCCTGGTCTGAAATTTTCAGACTTACACAAGTCTTAACCTTTCAGACAGGTCGTAGTCTGAAAAATTCAGACAAAATTGTCTCAATTACTAGATTGTTTTATCTGAAAGTGGCAGCAGGAAATTTTCCCGTAACTCGATGAAATGATAATGTTCGCATCCGAACCTCAAAGGAGAGACGTACTCCAAGGAACCGTCTAGGTAAAAAATTGAGTGTAGGGCAATGTCCCCGATGTGAGACTCTTCCCTGCACTCATCTGGAGCTGGCATGACGCACCCTAGGGAACGACGGCACGGAGCCAACCGCGAGAGGTAACTTCAAATGTCAATTGTTAAACTCGCGCGTTTGCTACAGATATAAATTTGGTATGGGAGCGTGTGTTTCGTCATAGCCAATAGAGTGATGGCCATTTCGGGTTAAAAATATTAAAAATTTAACAGAATAAAACGTTTTTAACAACAGCAGGCTCTTTACCGACACTGGCGCCACCTAGCGGAGAGAAAAATGCTTTCGTTTTGTCTGAAGTCCCCGAAACGGAGTCGGATTAAATTGAATGTAAGACTGATTGTGAGTTAACCCAATGTTAGGTTGGAAGAAAGTTGTCCAATTTTCTCTTATGTTTGAACATATTTCAGAAAGTAGTCTGAATCCGAAATTCAGACTCTTGAGGTCTGGGAAGTCTGACGCAAGTTCATATGAATTTTGAGAATGAGTACAAATATTAAGACACTTCGAGTCTGAACCAAGCTTTCAGACAAAGCGTTTAAGAACTAAGACAAAAACTCTGATTTTTCAGAATTTAGTCTGATTTAAAGATTCAGACCGCTAAGTCTGACAAAATTGGTCTGAATTTTCAGAATTTTTTTAACAGTGTCTCCAAATTCCACCTCGTTTGGGAGAACTAAGTAAATATGGTTCCGTAGTCCAGTCTAACAAAAAGATTTAAATCACAGAAACCGTCCACAGAGTGATGTTCCACTTTTGTCAATTTTTATAGTTATGTCTTAGGCTGTTTTTACAAAAATGCAATTGCATAATTCATCTGATTCGATTTATTTCACCCTGCAAACAGCTGTTTGTTTCTCCTGAAAAATGATGAAAATTGAGTTATCCCCTTCTTCAGATTCATGGATCATATGTTAGGAACAATCCGTTACGTTTGCAATAAGAAGAAATGGTTCGTTAATTACGAACTGTTTTCGTTTTAAGCTCAGAATACTTGGTTCAATGAAGCTACTTCGGGATACGTTAATAGTTTGTAAGGTTTCCAGAGTGACCTTCTAGTATCCTTGATGCTCCATTTCTCCTATAAGAACTGGGGGTCCAAAATTGATATAAGGTTAAGGGTTCAATATGGCTCTAGTTTATTTCTTGCTCTCCCCACCTTCAAAGAGTTCCGATCGTCAACGAAAAAAAAATAACGATGAGTTTAGAAAGTTCAGTACCAACCTGGCTTCCAACGACCACGATTTGCGGCAGTTCTATAGGGTTCTCTTCAAGAAGTTTGAACTGATCTTGGATCTGATTAAATGTTGAAATATATTTGTCCATTATGGCTCGAAACCTGAAAACCAATATGAAAATTAGAAGTGGTACACACGGGTTGATTCAGATTCGGTACAGTAAGATCCGGCCCATGTCTCAGTCCCGTTCACTTATAACAAAACCAAATTTCGCATTACACTAGCAGTTTCTGCAACACGAAACTACTTTCATGTTGAGAACGTCACGGCAAAGAACAGGTGGAGTAATGTGTTTCTTGTGCCATAATTTATATTTCCAGGTTTTTCTCTTTGCACCCGTAGTTTACGTGATAACTTATATGAAGAGAAGAGTCAGCTTTGTTGTAAGTAAAACAAGCTAGGGCCCGCCCTTCCGTCGAACCGAGTTGCCAGCTCCGCTTCGCTGCGCCGGCAACTCGGTTCGACAGGAGGCCGGCCCAGCTTGGCCTGCCGGCGGCCTTTCCTCGGGCCTTCGGCCCTCGCGTCAGACCCAACTTGGCCAGTCGAAGGCCCGGGCCTTCGGCCCGCTCGCATTACACACCCCGTGAGCGGGTAAAGCAAAGTTATCGATGTACCATCGTGACTTAGGCCCGCCCTTATATTCACAACATGCAAAAGTCCTTACACTTTTTACTCCAACTGTCCTTAGAATATGCCCATTTCATTTGTCTCTCAGCCCTCATTCCGAAAATACCCATATTTGCCATGCTACTGCAACTCCTTGCAATAGAGGCCCAGCAGGAGCGCAAAACGAGTCCGTCGCACTTTTTCCCATAACTCATGAAGGCGGGCTCCTGGACCCCCCTTTCGACCCCTTGTTGAAGAGGTCTTGCCAAGACCTATCGAAAACTTAAGTAAAAATTTTCAGTCGGTCGACCCCCTTTTTTCAAGATCCTGATGTGACTAATAGACGAAGTTGGGCTCCTGGACCTCTTTCCGACCCCTCGTTGAAAAGGTCTTGCTGAGACCAATCGAAATCTGCAATAAATTTTTTTAGTCGGTCGACCCCCTTTCTTGAAGATCCTGATCTGGCCAACTTGTAAAAGCGGCCGATGGGGTCGGGACCAGGTCCATTCTTCTTGTCTCGTCGCCCCGATTCCAAAAATACCCCTATGTGCCCAGCTAGCACCAATAATGGCGGAAATCCCCCTCCCGCCCATGTAAACCATGATGCACCTGCAGCAGCCCTTGTGCGACCCGGACGGGATTTGCACCACCGGATTATTTGTTAAGACGGTACTCCTGAAGTACCCTCCAAATCTGGTTACTCTAGCTCAACTTCTTCCTTGTACACAGACACCAACAACGACATCAACGACAACAACACACAGACACAAAGGCAAATGCATAGCCCCCCCCCTATTTTTTGAATAGAAGGACGGGCCAAAAATACCATAGGAGGCAAAGTTAAGAGTAATTCAGCCTCATGATGTTTTTGGTTTGAGCCATGCGCGGTCAGATAATGCCAGACTTAAGGGGGGACCCTGGTGAAACTTTCAAGTTGGCTTCAAAATAATCCCAGAAAGTTGAAACTATGCTTAATTATTAGGTTCTATATGGTGAGTTCCCAAAACAAAATTCAATCCAAAATGTTGAACGGTCTCTGAGAAAAGTGGCTTTTTAGTGTTTTTTAGAGCGTTGGGGAAAAATCTTCCTGCGTCTTTCATTGGGACGGAAAGTCTTGAAAAATTTTTTGGGTTATCCTTAAGATGTATAGAAGAGATTTTAGTGACGGAATTTTCAAATTCAACTTCTGTCCTGAGATATGAGTTTTCAAATTTAAACATTAAGAAAAAAGTGAATTTTTTCCTCTTTTTTCAAACTTTTAGGTGTGTTTTAAAAAAAGTAGGGCTGATATCAAGATTCCGTCACTAAAATTTGTCGATAAGTCATCAATGAATAGAGTCCATACAAGACGACTCATGTAGGTATCAACCAGGAACGCAGGAAGTCTTTCTACGACAAAATTTTTGGTCGACTGAGCAAAGCTGTGAAGTTGAGCGTAGAAGCCAACGACAACTGATCTCAATGTTATTTCCTTCCAAATTATAAAGAAACTACCCACTTAGCTTAAAGGTGTTCAACCTGTTGAATCTGAAACCTTCTATGCACATATCATGAACTTCAAAAATACTATTTTTTGGAATTTTGGCGATTTTTTCACCAGGGTCCCCCCTTAATGTACAGTACAGGTCGAACAGGTTGGGAAAGTGAGGCACGCACGTCGCTTCATTAAAAGGGAAAATTGAGAATAAAAGGCATACTTTCTTGCTGCGGAGGCAGCAAAACTTACTACAACGCACCTTCTATGGATTACTAATTTTACTTCATCTGTGGGCAGGTGCCTGGATCCAGTTTACATTGACCATGGTCGAGAATTAATTCAATCAAGCGCTTTCATGAAATGCACACGGCAAAAACGGTTATAGGAATGGCCTGTGTTACTACAGGGTACTTTTAAAAAAAGACAGGAACCATTTTTGCCGTGTAAGCATGGATGATTTTGCGACCACCGGGGAATACCAACGGAATCAAGGAGGAACACAAGGGAATACCCAGAGTTCTGACACTTAGATTTCCACTTAATCAGCACTGGCTGGTAAGCCCTGAGGCATGTCCGTCAAAGTTTGCACTGAAATTCGAAGGGTGAGACATCTGACCGATTTTCGGTGATACAAAAAGTATGACCGAAAAATGGTCATACACAAATGTATGACCGAAAAAGGGTCATAGGGTAAGGTGCCCAGTGATGGCCATGGTACCAGTGATGGCCACTTAAGACTTTGCGCTGACTTCACATCCAGGCGAGAGAAGTTAAACAATTGAGCTTTTGGGGTTTTGTACCTCACCTATTAGCAACACAACACCGCAAAAATTTTGTCTCGTTACCGTACTGGGTGGCCGCAGTGGCTCAGCGCACTGAATGCTGCGTTGACATGTTGTGTTCATTTTGTGAAGGTGAGATCAAACCAGTAATCACAGCGTTTCTTTCACAGATCTTGAATTTTTACTTTATTTCTCACTTATTTCTGTCAGAAACGGAAGCATAGAGCTAGTCCTCTCTCAAAACCTAAAGTAGCCATCACCGAAGCAGGGCACAGGCCATCAGTAAGCGAAGGGTGGCCATCACTGGGCAAACTGGTCTGATACTTTGGCCACTTATTTCACAAAGATAAAATTAAATTTTGCTCCTTTTCAAACTGGAGAACCTTTACTCTATCCTTCTTGTATGCCCCTGAAAATGTTTCAAACGATACGACGATTGAGAGACTTCGTAAACGGATGAAAAGCGCAGCCGCGCGCTAAAAGTGGCCATCACTGGGCACCTTACCCTACTTAAATGTATGACCAAAAACGGTGAGACGGCGAGACTGGCTATTGTTTCGCTTGGGGATATAACAGCCTTTACCTGTGATACACTATAAAGTATGACCGTGTTTCGGTCATGACCGAGTATGACCTTTTTTCGGTCTTACATTTCAGTATGACCCTTTTTCGGTCGTACATTTCAGTAAGACCGTTATAGGGGTCAAAAGTCTCACCTTTCTATTTTCAGTGTGGGCGTTAAGGGGGGACATCACTCCAAAAACAGTGCTTTTGTAAAAACGTCATAAAAACCGAACGGAAAGAGAAAAATTGTTCATATTTTAACAGATAAAGTATAAAACAACACAAAGTCAATCCGCCAGGGCAGTACAGCGCTTTCGTTGAAAATACATTTTTGAGTGCTAGGTTAGACCATTTCGCACTGTTGCAGCGCTGGACGCCAAACGGTTTGACCTAGAACAACGAAATTTGGTGACAGCCTTCCAGAGATGTCTGGCTGTGGTGGGTACCTCAATCACATTTCAAAAATCATTTTAAGTTGTGTTTGTTACATACCAAAAAATATTGTTCAATTTTTTTAGTCAAAATTGTTCAATTTTAAACGTTAGAAAAATAATAAAAATTGACCAATGCAAATTATTTTGCTACCCACCATAGCGGCATGTCGTAGGAGCTTCCACGCTAAATCTCCCCGCTGTAGCTCAAAAACTGCGCCCTAGAGGCCTGCAACCGTTTGCAATTTCATGTTCCGAGAAAAACGCGATTAAAGTTGGGGAAACTGGGCTTTTCCCCTATGCATGTTTGCGGCGCACAACGTACTAAACCTGCAATTTTTTGAATTCCGGAATGCGGTTTTCACCATTTGACGCAGAAAGGAATGGTCTATAATATAAACTAATAAAAAAAAGTTGCAATTTTTGATCATTTTGGAGTGATGTCCCCCCTTAAAAACGATTCCTGATTTGCCCAACAACGATATGGTAAAGACATAGGCGATTCCCAGAGAGTTTCTAGGAAAACCTGGAATTGTTCCACCGGGTGGAGTGTGACCGAGTGCGTCGCGTTGGCCAGTGGTCTCTCGTGCTTTCACCACTCGCCTTGTGAAACTTCAACCTTTTCCTCGTTGATACACATTACTACGTCGTACCTTGTCTCCGGCTGATACGAGGTGAGTGACGGCGGCTGTCTGTCGGAGGAATGAGTCGCCGCGCCTTTTCTGCCGGGCCCGCAAGTTGTCCGTGTCCGTATCTCTTATCTATCGCCGGCGAAATAGATATCAAAGTTTCAGACAGTTCTGGAGTACTTGATAAAGAACGGCGAGAATCCTTGACAAGAAACTGGCGCGCTTAATTGCCTCAATTTGCAATTTTACAGACCGAAATTCGAGTTTGAATGCTGCAGTGCGAACTATAAGACGTTGCATTCCGGTTCAAAGGATGCATCCAAATGACATATAGGGAGGCGCTCAGCTGCACACTCTAACAGGTCTGAGTTGATTTGCTTCGCACTTAAAATCCTACAAAGAACGCTCTTCGTAATTCAAATAGAAAATCCTTCGCAGGCTGCGAAGATCTTCGTAGATTTTTCATTTGTATCACGAACTGAATTGTAAGTAATACAAACAATTTTCTCCGTAGGATACGACGCCGCCGTTATCTTTGAAGCTACAAAGGACGTTCTCCGACGGATTTTATGTGTTCATATCTATAAAGGAAAAGAAGGCATTGTAGAGTCGCTTCGTACTCCGAAGGATTTCACTCCCTAACACGAAGTATTTCTTGGTGTCTTACAATGCGTTCATTTTCTTCACATTACGAAGCGATTCTTTTAACAGTTTTACAGTGTAGGAGAGACGCGGTCTGAATCCTACACCGAGCACTTCTCGACGGTTCAATCTTGAATCAAAATGTAACACAGTATGTTGCGAACAAGGTGACCTTGAGCAGAATGAAAGAGTCGTGATCAATACCCCATTTTGGGCGAGGTTACTTTATGACCCAAATTTGGGCGAGGATTGTTTCCTCGCCCAAAATTGGGTGAGGAAGGGTATCAGCTGCCTATATCGCTCCATAGTATTATGACCCAAATTTGGGTGAGGAAACCTTCCTTACCCAAATTTGGGTAATAAGGAATTCCTCGCCCAAAATTTTAGCCATGATCATGACTCTTTCATTCTCAGTGTACTGCATCGAATGGAGTCAGCTAATGCACCTTGCCCCGGAAATGGACGGTGCATGCTCCGAAGTCTCCGAGCTCCCTTGATCTTGGTTTCTCGTCACTGTCCCTGCCCTGCCGCTAGATGCCGCGGGCAGGAACTCACTGGCTCTGGAAGACGCTGGAGTTCAGACTGGACTTAAAATAGGACGGGCCACAATCGCGGTATTGCAAAGTTGCAGCTCGGCGTGTATCGAGGCCTTGTTCACAGGCTACTGTACTGTGCTGGCTGGCAACTACAGTAGTAGATAATCCCAAAAGGTCGTACTGTACCACGACGACAGGAAAAGGGGCGACACAAGTCGCAAACTTTGGCTTTTTCGGTATTTTCTTGCTGCCAGTTTTAGTTCAGATCAAAAATGATATACAAACAGTAAAGGGCATCTGGAACTTGTCTCACGCTAAAGATTTTAAGGGGGGGGGGGTAAGTGAAGAAAATCGATTTTCGGTTTTTGCTTTTTTTCGACTCTTTGGGCCTTGGTACAACCAAACCTGACCATACTTCGACCCACAGCACCGTCAAATCAGCATAGGGAGCTGTTAATTCGTACAATCACTGTGAGGTTAGGTTAGGCCCTCCAACTTTAAACCGGTTTTTCTCGGTAACTTTTTTTTGGACCTTGCGCGCAGGATATCTCGGAGACCTTAAGAGGTAGAATGTTGTGCGATAGCTTAAAATGATCAGTGTTCAAATAGCTAGAAGACAAGGGAGAGTTTTTGTCAAAAATGTGTCTCAATCTTTAGTTACAGGTCAATGAATGTCCAAAAGCGGCATAAAAACAGTCATGATTCTAGTTTTCAAGATTAGACCGAAAGAAAACATGTTTTTGAAATCCGGCTCCCTTGTCTTCTTCATTTTGACCATAAAAAATTTTTGCAACTTCGTCAGATTTTTTAGGACAACATTTGGATTTGAAATCCTGCGCGCAAGGATTAAAACCCAAAAATGGACCAAATCTAAAATGTTTGCGAAAATTCAAAAAGTGCCACCAGACGCGCAACCAAAGATGGTTAAATAGTCAAAAGTCATGGAGAATCCAATGGTGATGTCCATTTTCATGTCAGGGAGACCAATATGTTAGAAAAAACGGCTGAAAAAAACATGAAAAAATTCGAAATTTCACTTTACGCCCCCCTTAATGAAACTACACACTAAATGTCATGGGACTTTTTTGTCCCATGAATGATGCAATTAAGCACATCCGATGGTGATGCAATTTTGTGCCCGCCAGGCGGGACACATTGTCTAGTAAAAGTACAATTTGCAGCAGGCGTCGGACAAAATGTGTCGCCAGACGGGAACAAAATTGTATCAGCGTCGGATGTGCTTAAAATTGCATAAATCGTG